GGTCCCTGGTCCGGTACGGGGGCAATACTGAGGGTTGCGATCCATTGCCGGACACGGAAAAAGACCAAAAAAAAAAAAAGAATCTCTAATTATTGCAATAAGGCTACATTTGTAGATTTTGCCTAGTCTGAAATTAAACCTGGTAAACTCTACTGGAATTATCTAGAAAAGAAAAATTGAAACCCCTTTCAACACAATTAGCTCAGATTCTCCTAATTTTACTTTTCTAGCTCACAAGGTATTTTTTTTTTCATGGTGTTTTCAAATTGAAGTTCACACACATCAAATAAACAGCATGATAATCAGGGGTTCAATATCCAATACACATTCATTATTATCTGTCATTATTGTCATTGTCACTATTATAATTGCATGTCGTAAAAAGAATGGAAGCTTTTCCACAGGAATTATTCACGTGTATTACTTTCCAGGAGTAATTGAATAGTTGACATTGCATTTGTATCAAAGTAAAATATGTGATGGTTTTTTCTCATTTGTATCATTCTTAAGCAAAAAGAAATGTAGAGGCATCTCAATTAGGTCCCTTTGTTTAGATCCAGATAGGTTCAGAGTTTTATGTAATGTCAAATGTATATTTTCTTATAATAGTTATGGGGACTTTCTCACATCTCGGGAAAATTGAGTTAAACCTACCACATTGGGCTGTTTTGAGAGTCCATGAAGAAAATGGTGATAAAAACCACTTAAATGTGTTTTGTTATTTTATGTGTATTTTTCTTTGTGCCATGCAACTTTTCACATGCTTTATCCTATTTTTGTTTTCTATGTGGTTCACTTTCACAAAGTAGAGCTTTAAGCTTTATTTCAAATTGAGTAATATTGATACTGAGTTGGAAAATTGAGTAACAAAAGCTTTAGAAACAAAATACTCCAAGTAAAATGTCACAACAAATTGAATGAATGGTGATGTAAACATAATGATGCAAAAGATTTGGAATGTGTCTTCATTCACCGAGAAGGCCGTACATAATGGACTCAAAGCGCTGTCCCTTCATAAAATACACACAGCCAATGCGGGTAGAGATTTCCTTCACTTCCACGTAACTCTTCATTACATTCCTTGCAGAGGACTGGATGGCTTAGGGTTTTGTCTTAGTTATGTGGAGTCTTCTATTGCTGCTATGCTAGCTAGCCCTTGGAATCATGTCATTGTTGGCAGGGGTGGAGGCTGTCACCATTTGCCAACTGTTCAGTGGCTTATGAATCGGCAGTCTCAGTCCAGTTCTTAGACAGATGGCAGTGGCTGGCTCTTTGCATAGAGAGGACGAAGACTCTAGAGCCTCTCCTCATTAATAGAGATGGTCCACCTAAGTCAGTGTCAAAAATCACCAGTGAGATTGGTCCAGGGTAGCTGGCCTTATCAATGAATGAAATGACCTTACAAATATATTTGAGCCATGCATTTATCTCCCCTTGTCATTCATTAAACACATTTTTAAGCAGTGCATTTATTTATGTATTAAAACAGAGATTCAATTCTATTCCATTTGTCACAACTACCACTTCAATGAATCCTTTCCTCCATGTCAATCTTGATATTGATCTACTTGCCCCCACCTGCAGTCTGGCAGCAAGTCGACCTATCACATCAGGACAGCCACAAAATTGTGACTTCTAGTTGGATAGGTCTATCTACACATAGTAACTTACAGCAAACTAAAAAGAGTATTTGCTTTCATCTTGACTTCTCTTATACACACAGAATGGTTATTTGGACTAAAACTATAGTAAAAAAAAATGGTCATATATCATTTCTGTGTGTTTTTAGGAGATTATATGGCATGTGGATTATGTATATATTATTTCCAAATAAGAAATAGGTTCTTACTGCACTGATTTTTCTTAATTCTTGTCACAGAACCAACCCAATCACTGAAATCCTCGAAGTATGAAGCTCTTTCCTGCTATATTCTGTTTTTGTTTGCCAGCTAGTGGTCTATAAAGTATATCGGTATAGTTCAAAAGTACATTAAATTCAAAGAAGTTGGGTTTGTTTGCTTGTTTTGTTTTTCTTTTAGCTCAACTACAGCCACAGGGTGGCAAAATTAACATTGCAAGCTGCTATTACATTAGTCATTCTTCTATAAGTACAGCTCCCTCTATTGATGAGTTTCTAATATAGAAGTTTCTCCAGAAGGTATTTTTCCTCCCCAGGCATATACAAGTACACTGCATTCCATGGCACCAGAATTTCATTAAAGGAATTCTCTCGTTCCCTTCCTTCACATGGAAATGGCATTAACTGTACTGAGTTAACTCTCCAAATGGTAGGTTCTTAACCAACAAACAATGCTTCTCCACAAGGACATATTTCTCCAAGCATCCTTGAATCGGAATGGGCTGAATATGTAATAATACATTCAGAGCCACACTGTGGATTGTGTACATATTTAAGAGGGAGCCTTTTCTATTTGTTGACTTTTTCCTTCAATCAGGGTTGTTCTGTTTCTTCCACCACCACCTTGAGCCTTTACAGGTAAATGAACAGTTCAATTACATGTAAAGCGACTGTTAAATCAGCAGGCCTTTGTAGGGGTCTGGGCTTCCTCTCTCTGCTTCAATCTCAAGCGTGCTCAATCCATTACTGTTCCTGAGGATTGTACATCCATCAGATCGAGTGTGCTGGCCAGGGTGCATCTTATAGCTTTTACTGCATATGAAACGTTGCAGGCCTGTTCTCAGGAACTGCCAGGCAGACTGGGAATCACAGTCACGGTTAATAGCAGCGAATTGCCAGCTCTTGATGGGTGGGTAGTCACTCCTTTCAGTGGTTGCCCCCTGGGGGAGAAGGTAGAAAAACAGAGGGAGGGAATTAGAGTGACTTTGCACAGTTGAGCAGGTTCATGCCGCTGGATCAGTGGCAAGCGTTGGCAGGGCTCCACTCTGGGGAGGCTCACAACAACATCACAGTCTCATTTTTACCAATTGGTGCTGCTATATTGCCAGTGGTGCACAGGGGGGAGTAGAGGGGAGGGTGAGCTGGGAACAGGGAAAAGGGATGAAGGCAGAAGTCTAAGCTAAATTGAACAAACAAAAAAAAATCCATGCTCAAACTGGTTAACCCACCCCAGTTAGCCCTGTGCTACTAATTCTACCAAACTGGTATTTGAAGTTCCCTGGGTGATTAAAGAGTTGGCTCACAAACTCTCTGCATAACCTTAATTTTTTCAAGGTTCTTTGAGTGGAGAATGGCTTATAATAATGATTTTGACTAATACGATTTTTGACATGCAACTTTAATGCTTAACCTTAGTACAACTCCAGAGCATTTCATGTGTACTCAGCTGTAAAGAGTGATGATTTAAAGGGATAATATAAGAAAAAGGTCGTTCTAGAATGAACCTCTAACAAATTGCATAAAGGAAGCTTATTATTCCATGAGTATGGGGATGTGCAGCTCTTCTGATCATTTTTCTGCTTGGTTCAAAAAAATTGTCAAGACATGAATAGGAGAAGAAACAGGAAAAAGTGAAAATCTGCAAGCAAGGAACATTCTTTTGATGGTTATGATTTTGTTGCCACTAAAAAGACTCTACGATAATGTGGTTATTCATCTCTCCTTTTATTTTGGGTGAAGAATTCGCTCTAACAAGAAAATGCTGTTATTGGTTGGAGGGTTGCCCCCTGGACCGGACCGGCTCCCCAGCAATTTGGTTCAATATTACGATGATGAAAAGAAGACGTGGAAGATACTCACAAGTGAGTGCACTTATTTATTTACTCACCTATTTATTTCAGGTTAGAGCTGTCTTGACGAATTCGAAAACATGGTTAATCAAATTAGACATTTTATTGATTTGTTAACCTTTGGAGGTTTGTTTACAGTGAGTGCACTTATTTATTTACTCACCTATTTATTTCAGGTTAGAGCTGTCTTGACGAATTTGAAAACATGGTTAATCAAATTAGACATTTTATTGATTTGTTAACCTTTGGAGGTTTGTTTACGTATCACAGGGGATTTAGAGTAAATTAACATTGCAGAGGTGGCCAATTTGGGAGTTGAATAGGCCTAAATTAAAAGTGGCCTGAAATCACCGTGCTGGTTTATGTTTCCGTGTGTGCTGGCACAGGGAGACTTCTCCCCAAAATTCTTCAGTTTTTTTGTTGTTGTTGCTGTTGATTGAAAAGTTAAAGGTTGGTTAATAGCAGCAGTAAATTTTCTGACATCAAAATGGTTGTTTGGTTTGTTTTTTCTGTAACTAACATTCATTTTACTTTATAGACATTTTTGCTCACTAGTCTTTTGTCTGTGGAACTGGGTGTTTAGAGAAATGCCCCCTTATATTGCTGCCCAGTTTGGATGGACAGATATATTCGTGGCCTATCCCAGCTGCATTAAATTGTGCTTGCAAACTTCTACCCAGAATTCTCCTCCTCTCCTCCTTAAAGGGTGATTGTGTTTTACAGCAAACCTCTCGCCTTGGGCACTGAGATCTGGAACTTATTGTTATATCGGTTATGATTCCCAATCTGACTCGGTCATGGAATCAAAAATCATCGTTTCTTGAGTGCAGCAGGCTGTGAGCACCAGTCCCCTCGTGGGCACAGTGGCTGCACTGGTCAATAAAACTAAATTTTAACTGTCAAAATTGCCCAGAGCTGTATAGATAAAATAATAAATGAGCAATTTTGATCCATAAATCAAAGCCATACATTTAAAACTGACAAAAGTGAAAGTTAGAAGTTCTTATTGTATGTATCTTTTAAGCAGTTATATATTTCATCAGATTTTAAAAAATATAATTTTCTTTCCTTTTCCTGAAAGCTTTTTAAAATAATAAAAATAGGACAACAGTTTGCTCATAAGAGTAGGAGAAGATCAGAGACATGTGAGGCGGTGCTTGAAATAATACATTTTGGAGTGAGCTTACCCCAGCAAAGCCTGCAGTAGCATTGTCCAGGAACTGCAAAAGGAAAGCTCCCTGGACACCAGTACAGCACGGTTGTAGTAAAGAAGTGGTGGAATAGTAGCAGCGAGATTAAGAAGGAAGAGAGCAAAATAAGTTAGAGATGTCTTTAAACTGTCTTTATTCTCTTTTTTGACAAAAATACCATTAATAGTGGTTTAAACATCTGAGTGAATGACCAAGCTGTATTTTAAAGATTCATCAGAAACTAAAGCTGAAGTAAGACCAAAGAATCAATTTTTTGACCCTTGATCAATAGAGAAAGCTCACATAGAATGAGACGTGGAGAGCAGGAGGAGGAGAGAAAAAAGAGTAAGGACAAAAGATTCCCAAAGGGAGAGAGGGGGAAAAAATAGAGGATAAGGAACAGAGAGATTGCATGATATTCATTCACAAATCTGCTTTCCCAAATACCCCAAGCCAGGTCCAATTTGCTACTTGTTTGAAGCCCCTCAGTAAAGGCAAAAAAATTAATTAAGGCATTATAAACAATGCCCAAGAAAAGTCTGATGTTCATTTTAAACCTTACTCAGAGATAGGGTGATCAAACTCGTTGTCCAAACTGAAGCATTTTTGAGCATGAAAGGGGCATCTATTAATTTTGCCAGGACAGCAGGGATAGACTGGAACATACATACGGTCACTCAAAGTTTTTGCATTGCCTGATTTAACTATTTGGATAGATGTAGTAAGAAATCATGAACTTCAAAGCAGATAGACCTGAGTTCAAATCCAGATCTACGACCTTGAGCAAGTCATATATACTCTGAGTCATGGTTTCTTCATTTTGTCAGGGTCATTGCAGTATTTTTTTTTAAATAACATTGTGTTTGTAAATCATCTAACAGGCACTCAATAAATAGTGGGTACTATTGCTGTCACTGTAGCACCACTATCAATATTAGCACAAGGACTGTATCTTTACACCTTAAAGGCATCAGTCAATGCAAACTCTTCTTGCAGAGGGGAGACATATAACACTGCAGTGGACATGACACTTCAACCCTCTGCTGTGGAGAAGGGAGCCTATTTTCCGTAGCTTTCATATGCCATAGATGTAATAATCCACAGACTAAGAAGTAAAAATAAGTAGGTATCTGTTGACTCAATTCACCAGATTTGAAATGGAAAAAATAAAGAATTTAATGTATAATTATGGAATAGATCTTCTAATGGGAACACATTTAAACATCTTGAACCCCTTTTTTACACTGAGACATGCTCATAGCTTTGAAATAAATGTCTACTTTACTTACGCTCTTCATTTCACAGGACTTGTACTTTAAGAAATAGTTTATTATCTGCTAGGCTGTGACTACTTGGCCCCAAGTGAAGGCGTATATTTTACGTTTGTTGAAGAAATGTAGACAATTTATCTGAATAATTTCTGCTCTTAGTTTGTATTTTTCAATTACAGCTTCTTATTTGGCTAAATTCAATAAATAAGTCAGGTAACTAACAGATTTCCATACTATTTGGACCATGTAGTGATAAGTGAAGAAATGTTTCTCATCAGAATTAGAAAATATCCAAATTCTCCCAAATCTGATGAAACATGAGGGATTGCACAACTTCCCACTGCCATTCTTCTGCCCTAAAAGAAGTGTTCAGCTAATTTGTCAGGGAGGTGAGGATAATAACTAATGGTAGAAGTCAGTCTCCTGGTTTGGGGGGGGGTCTCTTATTTATTGAATGACTGTCTCTATGCAAACTAACAAACAGACTAACAAAAATCTGAAACCTGAGATTAGCTAGAGTTTCTTAACCTTGGCATACTTTGCCCATTTGGCACAAGTAAACATTTCTCTGCATGTCTCACAGACATACTCCTCATAGAAAGATGCCATCCACGGGCAGAGGCACAGATGCCTGCTTATGGGAGCAACGCTACTTACACGTTATACAACAGAGAGGAAGGACACGGAAGCTCAGTCATAATTTTCTTTAGATCTTATCCTGTTAGGTTATTTATATGTTGGAAACACTAGATAAAGAGTACACTTAAGTAATAAAAAATTAAGTGGAGTAGAGGTGAGCAGGAGTGAAAAAGTGTACCTATACAAAATAAAGAAAACAAAATTTAAATAGTCAGCCAATCACTGGTTTGGTCTCCCCAAACAGCTAAGGAAACAACTATTCTCAATGGAAAGACTGTTTTGGTAATATGTTGGCACAGACTGCATTTTTGTCTTTCTTTTTGGAAAAATCATTTCATGCAACATTATAAAATTGTTGGTAAGATGATAGTGACAGAGCTCCCCAGCCTCTATCAGAAGAGCATTGAGAAATAACGTGTAAAAATCAACTGTAGAATCCTTTTGTAAATGTGAGATGTTAAGTAATAACAATGAAATTGGTATCCTCGTTTTCCTGCCTGTTAATGACAAAAAGAAGCTGAGATGTGCTTCCGTTCATGTTTTACAGTACTGCTTTTCTTGCATTTCTCACTCCTGCACACAGTCTCCTGTTCCATTCTTCATTTATTAGAAAGCAGTACAGGAGACATGAATACTAAAATGGCCAATGTGAAACACATGCCTCCTGCTCTTTGCAGGCCCCAAATCCTCAGTGCAAAGATCAAACAAAATGATTCCCATGGCTCCTGTGTCCCTTTGTAACAGCTTCCTCACATACCAGAGTTTTTATAAAGTCCATATTTGGAAGCTCCTTACATTTCTCCCCAAGGGACGGCATTAAAGAGCTCTCTGTTCCACTGGGACTTCACATTGACCAGTTTCTTTACTGATGGGTGAAGGTATTTCCCAGGAACTAGCTTCCTTTTTCCTCCATTTCAGATAAGAAATTCTACTTATTAGGTGCTTCTTTGCTGCTGTCAGTGAGCAGAGACAGGAAAGAGGACTTCAAAATATAGATTTATCCTTCCATGTGCCATTGATGACTTTCTTTAGCATAAGAATGTAAATTATGGAGCTCAGTTAGAAAGGCTTCTTCCTTCCTGTGACCCCCCTAAGTTCCCTTTGTTAGGGGGAAGGGAAATGCCTTTGTTCCTCTTTCCTTCAGCTGGTTTGCAACTCTTTCTCTACTTTGTAGTGCAAAGATCTGGGGGCCTTCTACTTTTCAGTCATTGAAAATAAAGGAAACTGTAGTGTAATCGTTTTCTAGGTTGTCTCCTCTGGCCCATGGAGGACACTTATCCTGATCCCATCCACACAGAAAAGGTCCTGTGGCTGGATGTCATAGATTTCTTTTAGAACAATCCCAAAAATCAGAAAGCTGGAGGACTTTTCATACTTTCTATAAAATATATGCTTTCCATAAATATTGAAGAAAGAATAATAAGAAGACAAATCTTATATAAGTTATTGAACTTTGGTTCCAAAAGATAAATATAGATTTGATTGTATTGATTATATATATATCTAAGCAATATAGAATGGTTTAATTGCTGATTGTTCAGGAATAATCAAACTGCATGTTGATACATTCAATTGTATTTCTTTTCTTGATTTTTCTTGATTCTTGTGTTTCTTGATTTTGGTTCATTTCTGTTCTTTGAGGATATATTGAGAGGAAAATCAAGTTAGTCAAAAGGTAAAATCATGTCTTATGGTTATTCGTTTTGAAGGAAATAAAAAGTATGTTCAACTGAAGGTTTTGTACCTGTGGGTTTCCTTCATTCACATTATCTTTATTACCAAGAACCAAAACCCACAAATTATTTAATTTATTTTCTAGACAAGTAGGTAGAGTTTATAGATAGTGCATTTCTCATTGCAGGAGGATCTCAGAAAATAATGAAGTATTTCCAGAGTGACTCTGAAAATGGTTGGGAAGCATTTAGACCTCATTTCTTCATGTAGCAAGCAATCATTGAGTACCCACTCTGTGTTGGATGGTAGGTTAGAATATGAATAAGGTAATCTCTCCTCTCAATAACGTGGAGAGACATTATAATACAGTGTGCTAAGGGATAGATAAGGAAATCCTGGGGTACTATGGGAGCACAAAAAGGGACCTCTAATCTCAACCTGTGAGGTTAGAGAAGCTTTCCTAGAAGTGTCCTTCTGTAATTCTGAAAAAATAGGTAGGAATTATCTAGGCAAAGAGGTGGATGGAAAAGTATGTTAGTAAGAGGAACAAGTACTGGGAGTGCCAAAAGCATATAGTGCCTTCTAGAAACTGAAATAAACTTTTGTATTTGTAGGAGAGTCTGAGGTTAAGGTATTAAGTGATGGGGGTGAAGAGTTAACCAAGAACCATATCACAAGGAGACTATTTCAAGGAACCAACAAGATAGGTTTAAGAATTAAGAACTGCAAGTAGGAATACACCTTTAATTTTTGTTTTCAGTATTAGTGAAAACACGATGATCTAAATATTTTTGAACAATAACATGGCAGTTGATCTCTCTTAGCTTGGAACTTTTTATTTCAGTTCAAAGAACAGTTGTTTCCATGACTTTTGAAAAAGATGAAGGAGAGAGAATTGTGTTTGGACTTTTTAAATATGTTAACATCTAATTTTACCTTCAATGAGCTCAATTCTAATTTGAGGCACATGGCTGCACATTGCTGTATATCTTGAATTATTTGCTACCGTGCATCCATGCATCAGTGCTTTAGTGGATTTTTCATAGATTTTTTTTTAAAATATGTGTGGTGGTCACTCCAAATACTGTATTTTAAGCAAGTTGGGTGCCTAGAAAAACTGGTTAACCTTATTTGGCCATCTCTCATTTATTTCTGGTTTATACCTCCCTTGAATACAGCAATTGCTTTTTCTCCAGAGAGCAGCTTGTGTGCACATAATTCTGATGCATTCTTTACACAAGCTGTGGTATTTGCTACTGAGTCTGGCATGAAGGAGGTATGAGTCATATGGGCTGCTTAAATTTGCTGTACATCTTTCTTAGGCAAACTGCAGACTAAGTCTGGCAAACCACTGAATGTAAGTACTGAAAGATTAAGTGATCTCCTTGCCCAACCCTTTCATTTTACACACTCATTTTATTAATTCAATAAATATAACTGATATCTCCTGTGTAACAGAGATTCTGCTAAGCACAGAGGATACAATGCTGAGCCACAACAAACATCGCCATGCCCTTACTGAGTTTAGAGTTTAGTGGGGGAAATGAGCACTAACAAATAATCCCAGATAGCAACATATAATAACAAAATGTGATAGTGCTCTGAAGGAAGGGTATAAATATATACAATCTTGTAATGGAGAGAGTTGATCTAGCTTAGGAGTCATGGAGAATATCACCAAAGAAGTGGCATTTGAAGCTAAGAAATGAAAGATGAAAAGGAGTTAGGCAGGTGCCCAGTGAAGATGTGAGATAAAATTGCTCCAGGTTAGTTGCCAGTGAGTGCAAAGACCCTGCAAAGAGATGAAGGCACATAGCTGAACCCAAACAGTGAAGGGACAGAGACATGAGATGTGGCTCAAGGTGTTGGCAGAAACCAGGCCATACAGGAATTTTCTGTGGCAGGCTCACAGTTTTGGTTTTTACTTTAAGTGATGCAAAGAGAGGAGGTGTCGTACCCAGAGTCACATGACGACTTAATGGCAGAGCAATGAATAGAACACTGGTCTCTATTTCCATTAAACAGTGCTGTCTCAGATACTATACCAATCCGTCTCACCAAAAAGTGCCATTAGTCAACAGTCCAAGCAGATGGATGGGATTTAATCTGTGCTGACCCATTTCACCCATGAAAATCTAAATGGATCCAATGTACTTGGCATAGTACAGTGTTCATAGAATACAACCAAAATAGGTTAATTGAATGAATAACCTACTCCTAGAGGTCAAGAATATAATCTTGGTTTACAGACTAAACTGCAAATTATGATGTCTAAGTGATAAAATTTGCATTTAAGATTACTGACAAACCATAATTCAATGCTACTTTCTTGACATTTTAATTCTGTCTTGGAAGCAATGTATAAATACGTACAATTATTACATGTCAATTAAAAACTAATTTTTGAAAATAAACTATACACACACACAGTAACAACTGTAGAGACAGACAGATCTAAATCGAAATACATCCTCAGATATTTGTTGACCGTGTGACTTTGGCCAAGCTGCTTACTCTCTGATATTTTTTTCTCATCTGCAAATTGAGGATAATTATAATCACCTCATAGGGTTGTTGTGAGAATTAAACAAGATGATACAAATAAATCTATAGGCTCAATATCTGCAATATAGTTGTTGTTCAATAAATTTTTATTCTATTTTGGTTTACTTTGCATTCTTTTATAACCAGAGAAAACTAAAAGATTAAATCTTATCTTCTGCCCATCTAAGATCTGAGAAAAAAAACACACTGTGATTCAGAATGAAATCGCTATTTCTAGCATGAAGTTTATGTGTATCAGTCAGGATGGGCTAGATTATGATATGGTAACAACTCCAAAATCTCAGGGGCTTAATCCAACAAAAAATGTATCTCTCACTCACGGTACACGTCCAACACAGTTTGGCAGAGGGCATCTGCTCAGCAGAGTCATTCAGGGGTCCAGGCACATGGGGCTCCATCCTGCCACGTATTTCCATTGATGCAGCAGGGAGGAAAATGTGCTACAGTGTCTTGCACTGGCAATTCAATGTGACATTTATCATTTCTGCTCAGTCACAGGACCACACCCCATTTCAAGGGGACATAGAAGTGCAATGTTACCAGGGCTCAGGAGTAGGAGAACCAGAGAATTTGGCAAACAGTGCCCTGTCACTACCATCTTCTGTCCTATAGCAGACATCAATATTCACTGTACTCTCCTCACTAGGCTCAATTCTCACCCTTTCCCCAAAGGAGATCACCCAAAATCATCAAGCTTGTTGTCAAGGATCTCTGGGTGAGATCCTTGAAACTATTTGAAACTCCTCTTGACCTGGAAACAAACTAAAAAGACAAATTATTTGGTCCCTCACACATAATGCCAAGACGGAATAGGGCCAGGATCGCCAGAGCGAACACTTTCATTTGGGAAGAGCAAAGCAACTAGCAGTACCATCAAACAGACATTTAGAAGGGTACCTGGCCAAAGAGTGGGTTGTATTCCTCGATTAGGGCTCTACCCAGTCCTGATCATTCTCCTTTGTCCTCATAGCTCCTGGATCCACCCTAAGGGAAATCCTCCTCCTTGCATTATCTTCTTACACAATATCTGAGGTGAGCCTGAGGAATATGCTCCTGGGCATGGAAGAGTTTTCTAAGTACTTTTCATGTCCTAAACATTTAGGGGACAACGGTGGGTTTAAGTATCTGTCAACAGCCTCTTTAGTCCAGGCTGGTAGATCTTTGGCAATTAACTTTCTAGAAAACTGAGCTGTTTTCTTATGTTTCCACCCACTTCATGGCCAGTGAACATGCCCATGTTTCTTTTCTAACAAATTTCTTAGATTGATTTTTCCTTTGTTTTCTTGCCTCCATCTCTCTCTCTCTCTCTCTCTCTCTCTCTTTCTCTCTCTTTCACACACACACACACACACACACACACACACACACACACACACACACCCTTTAACACTCTCTATATATTTATGTATCTATCAAGTTTCAGTAGGAAAGCTCCTTTTTCACTCATTTTCCTAAGCTAGAAAAACTTACTGGATGTCTCATCCTTAATTGAAACTTTCTTCTAAAACATCCTAACTCAGGGAAATTACCTTTAATTTTGTCTTTGTCACTAAGCTGAGTATTAACTTATCCTTTTTCTCAAAATTTTTCTCAATTTTATCTATTACCAGACATAATTGGAAAATATCACTACTTCCATGGCTGGACACCCCCAGATTTGTGGACTCTATTTCCTTTCAATCCCACTTTTAAGTGGGCCAATTTTTTCCTGAGATCACCTATTTTTTTGTACATATTGCTGAGTGCAGTCAACAGCAACCAATACACACTATGAACATTCTGTTTTCCAACCTTTTTCCTTGGAGGTGGAAGTTAATTAATAACTATTAGCCTTTCATGTAAGAGCAAATAACAATTTTTTTCTTTTTTTTTTTTTTTTTTTTTTTTTTTTTTTTTTTTT